AATGCTGTCAAAAAATTGTCGCCTTTAATTTGAATTCTTCTTCGTGTGTATGTATTTGAACAAAAGGACACGAAATGAACTTAACTTTCGGCCAAGAATCTTGTTGAAGAATTTCTATTTTAGAATTTGTCATGTCGTCTTCGCCTTTCAACGCGTCACTTTATAAAATATATATTAAACGAGCGGCCGGCGGCTCGACGACCGACTCAAGGGAGGGGTGCGGACGAATTGGATGTAAGTGGGGGTGGGTGTGGGTGGGGGTTGGAGGCGACGTTGCGGGTGTGCAAATATGCGAAAGCTAAACGTCAGAACAACCCTTTTTCGGTAGAAAGTTTGCGCTTATCTTAAGCCGCGCTGACAACCAGCGAGCAGTAAGCGGCCAGAAGCCAGCGGCAAGCAGCAAGCGGCGCGAAGAAACAAGTACATACAAGACAAGCCGGACAAAAAGACAAAGTGCAAAAATGATATAAAAAGGGGAACAAGAATAGAACAGAGACGAGGAGCAGCAGCAGCAGCAGCAGCAGCAGCAGAAAGGCAAACGTCAAGTTATAGAAATTGCGCTGCTGCTTCGGCTGCTGCTGGGGGGTTGTAGCTAGAAAAAAATTAAAGGACATGCTCAACGCATTCCTTGGGACACAAGCTGACAGTGAGTGATTTGACCATACCCTCATTTGCGTGCAGTCAGCAGCAGCAGCAGTAGCAGAGGTGGAGGCAGCGGATGGTGGCAAGACGACCAAAAGACAGTCTGAGCTGAATGAGGGACGGCCGAGCGGCCCGGCACACAGTCATGTGCATGGATTAATGTGCAAGGATGCGATGCTGCTGCCATCACTGTTGCTGCTCTCGCCACCAGACATGGAAATTACGTCAACTACACATCGGGCCGGACTGGGCCGAGCTGGGCCGGGCTGGGCTGGGCTGGGCTGTTCCTCAGTAACTTTCATGTGCAGGGAGCGTGTGTGTGCGTGTGCGTGTGCGTAGCTGGGAGGGTGGTAGAGGTAGGCAGGGGGTTAGTTGACAAGCTTCTGGTTTGAGGAACTGGCTGTGAGCTGTGAGCTGCGGATCTACTCATTTACGCGCTGCACTCGAGTTACACACAGAACTTTCCAAGCTATTTCTACACAAAATGACAGCGAAATGTAATAATGAAAAACTTTTTCTTTGTCAACTTGATAAGTATGAAATTTTTCTAAAACAAAAAAGAAGCGTGCAACGAACAAAATTAAAGCAGAGCATAGCCAGGATACTAGAGCAGGAGGCAGAGGCAATTGAAATATGAGTGTATAGAAGCAAAAAGGATTGCCTTTGCTGATAGCTTCGGGATTAGTTATGCCAAAGGAATTTCCAAGCGAAGGCGCACAGATGATTGCAATGCGATGGCAGTTGAGCAGTTTGCCTAAAAGACGACAGCATTGCGTATACGCCGTGCTGTGCGTTGTGCTTTTAATTGAATTTTTAATGCACACAACACCGATCTGCAGACTAGAGATGAGCAGCAAAACAAACAAGAACACAACCAAACCACTTCGATAACTTTTTGTTATTTTATTAAATATTTAACTGCTTTTAATCCACCTGTTCACTTATTTCAAATAAATTGCTCATTAACTTATACCTTCATTTATCAAAATACAAACAAGGGGCAAATATTGTCTATGAACTGGGAGTTTTTTATAGAGAAATAATAGAAAAGAAAAATGTGAAGGAGAAATGTGAAGTTCTTTAATCGAATTAAATAAATGTCCCTCAATATTTTCAAAACAAACGCAGCAGCAGGCTAAAAAATAAGAAATGACTGTTAGTCTATAATGAATAAAGTCAAATTCGACTTCCATTCACCTACTCAATAGTTATACCCGCTTAAAAATGTAAACAAATTTCGGGATCCCCAAAGGCTTAATGGAATTTCTTATATAGAACCGTCCACGGAATCGAAAACTGAAGCTAAACAAAAAGAGAGTTAATTGAATTTTGACTGAGTTGGACAACAGCTTCTAAATATTGCGTATAATTTTGTCTGCTAATTACCGCTGCTGGCACTAATAGCTTAAAACATTTTTAAAAGGCTTTCTTTTTTGTAATATTTTTAAAAAGTAATCAGTAATAAATCATAAAAACAATAAAAATAGGGCTTTCTTTTTTTTCAAAATAAAAATCATTTTTTAGGCAAATACAAAAAATGTTGACATTTGTAGTATCAAAAAATTCTTTCAATTTGAACATTTCATAAATAATGAGAATCATGTTATTGACGGAATGTTAATCTTTTAATATCAAGTCAATAATTAATTCATAAATTTATGATAAACATTACATGGATTTATTCTTCAGAATGGTGCCTTTTCTGTATTTGTCCATTTCAAGTTTTCCCGATCACGCACGTTGGCTTACGATCACCAGAGCCACCACCACGCCACATGCTAGAGAATCTGGAGGGGGCATGCAACATGGCAACAACAACATGCAGCATTTTGTGCATGCCAGAATGTACACAGCACTGTTGCTTTGTTTCCTTTATGAATTGAAGGGCAAAAGGCAACATCAGTCGCCGCAGCTAACGCCAATCACATGTTCCGCATTTTTACTTTGTGCGTAAAACAGCGGCAGCTCCAACATTCCGGAATTCATAAGCTATGTGCGTTACGCCGCCAGTGACTTGGAGGCGCTCTGTGGCAAAAGCATTTTTGTTCAGCCGCGGCTAGAGAAAAGGCAACAAAGGCAACAAGGCGGTAGCTGGGTGGCATGTCTGCCGCCATTAACCCACTCGCAAAAAGCGCAGAAGCGTTTGAATTATTTTTACAAGGTGGAAGCCAGGCCGAGCTCGAAGCTCCCACAACAGGCAGAAGCAGAAGCAGAACCAGAAGCAGCAACAACGCCTTTGAGCGCGCTTGTGAGTGCCAGTTAGCATAACTTGTTGGCCGCAGGCAGCAAAATGTTGTTGTTGTTGTTGTTGTTGTTGTGTTGCTTTGTTTAGCAGCATTTAGAAATATTTGCTCTCGAGGAAAAACGCGCTAAAGTGCAACGAGGCAAAATTGTGGGCTACCAAACACACCCCCAACCACAACCCCAATCCCTTCCCCTTCCCATCCCTTCACCACTAGAGCACTTAGTATGGGCCAAGCATTGGTCTGTAATGCGAAAAGTGTGTGTTGTCCTTGTTGCGGCATTTTGTGTGTCGCCACGGGGCTACATTGCTGGAAATATGCTGTAAAACTAGCAAAAATTACAACTGTATTGCCCCACAAACCGCCTACTGGGTGCAAACATGCTAAATGCTTTCACTGCTCCTGCGCCAGCGCCAGCGCCAGTCTTCCCGCAAAGTCAACCCATCACCTGCAATGATAACCACACGGCAGCAAACCAGCGTACCAGCGTACCAGCGAACCAGCCACAAATCACCTACACTCGTATTTAAACGTAGATGGCAAAGTGTCATAAATTTGCAATTTACTGCCAGTTTGCAAAATTAGTTGCTAATTAAATTTCCATTCGCCAATTGGCTGGCCCAGTGACAAAAAACAAAAAAAAAAAAAAAAGAAACAAGATAGAACGCTACAGTCGAGCAAGCCCGACAGTAAAATACCCTGTACTCTCCACAAAAAAGAAAATAAAAAATACAAATATTTATATTAATTAAATTAATTAATGAAATTAAATATAAAATATTCAACACATGCATACATACATTCAATGGAATAAATTTACATCAGAAACGATTTCATTTATGGCTATAACTTTCTTCAGAATTGACCAATCATGGTGAAACTTAACATACGGACATTTTTATATTATTTTCATTTTTATTTTATTTTCATACAGACATTTTTATTTTATTTTCATAATATCAACAATAATACTGTCGATTATATTATAAAACTTAATATAACAAATTAAACTAAACAAAATAAAAGATAAGAAAGCCTAACACAAAGCTGTACAAAGCTGACGTCTATTAATGCCTCCGACACGTTGGGGGAATTTTATTTGCCAATTGCCCAGCTATGCCCCGATTCACAGCCATATGTGGTCAGGGACATTACAGACCTAAAAACCTATACAAAAAGTAGATAAAGGTGAACAATTAATTCTATTTAACAACTAATTAGAAAAAGTACAAAGTAGAACGAGAAAGAGAAAAAGAAATAAGGAAAGAGAGATAGAGATAGAGAAACAGAAAAAGGGAAAGGTGGAAAGAGAGACGAAAAGAAAAAGAAAAAGAGGGAAACCAACCCGGTGGGGGAAATTTTAAATGCCAGTCCGGCAAGCTATGCCCCAACTCACAGCAGTAAGTGGTCAGAGATTTCCCCGAAGATAATTATAAAGAATAGTTTTGATAGAACAGAGAGAGAGTCCTGTCGAAAGTAAATGTGAAAGATCATTATATTGTCTGCACATGACATGAAAACGATTGTGCAAAGCGTAATCAGTTGTGCATCTTGCCAATATGAACGGCAAATAATTCCTTGTTGGCCTACAAGGAACTGAAAAATTAAGGCGACCTAAGAGGGCAGAGGAGTCAACCTCACCGATAACCAACTTGTGGAGAAAAACAACTCCAAGAACCGTCCTGCGATGTACTAAGGAAGGAAGGTTTATAAGCCTCAGTCTACTAGAGTACGATGGCAAGCAGAGATTGGGATTCCAGCATAAACCACGTAGAGCAAAAAGAAGGAATTGCTTCTGAACAGACTCAATACTTTCCTGAGTGCTGAATGAGAGCAGTATTCAAGCACAGAGCGTACTAGAGCAGTGTAAAGAAGCTAAGTGGTATAAATTCCTTGGACATACATTCACACACTGGATATGACTACCAAATTTGAGTACAAAGTTCCATAAATTACGGGAGTTATAGAAAAAAAACACGAATTGCAGGGGAGTGGGGGTGCATCGAAAAAACTTAAACTTGTACTTTCTCGGTCTCAGGAGAATCTGAATACCAAGTCACCCACGCCCATTGTTTTTGTGTACAACTGCTTTGATGTGAAGGGTAAAAAGCTCGCTTTAGAAATTAAACAGCAACAAATTTACTTGTATATAATTATGATTGTGCTATAACGCTGCGTATATACACGTTTAATGTTATCATTTAAATGTTCACTTCTCCACATCGGTGAACTTAAAACGGAATGGTATGGCGGGCTCCGAAACAAAGAAGGACTTATATGGCTGGGATGCATCATAGTTGAATTCAATGTTAAAGTTGCGTATCAACTTGGCTAATGTGGTCTCCATTTCCAGATCGACGACTCGCTTGCCAATACACATCCGTGGCCCAAAACCAAAGGGCAGGAATGCGAATGGAGAGATCTGTTCTTTCTTACCCGTTTCGGGATCGCGCAACCAGCGTTCGGGCAGAAACTGATCTTCCCTTGGAAAATGTTTGCTGTCCCTACATAGCGCATTGTAGGCCAACAAGATTTGAGTGCCCTGTGGTATGTTATAGCCGGAGAGTGTTACGTCATTGACGCATTGTCGGAAGGTGCCAAAGCCATTTGGATAGTAGCGCTGACTCTCCTTGATCACAGCTCGCAGATACGGCATATCTTTCATGCGCTGCTCGTCCAATGGAGTGTCTTTGGTGGGCATGATGCGCAGCACCTCTTCCCGCAGCTTTTGCTGTTTGTCCGGGTTTTTGGAGAGACACAGGAGTAACGACGACAGCAAAATGGAGCTAGCATCGACGCCGGCAAATAGTATATCCAGTCCCATGATGACAGCAATTTTTGGATCAATCTCCAGCAGTCGCTCCATCATGCTGGCTTGACTAAAGTCTTCGCCGGCCTGTTTGCGTCTCTCCAATAGCTGACGAGACTCCTCAACTATTTTCATTGCCACATTCGCACTTTCGTTGAGTGCTCGTACCATTTTTCTGTAGGTGGGCGTGGGCAGAATTTTCCAAAGCGATGGCGTCATATCCAGCTGGAAGGTATAGCGGAATATTTCACGCGATGTACGGAACAGTGTCAGGGCATCTGGATTATCGCGCTGCTTGCGTATGATTCCCATTTGGCGGTTAAACGCGATGAGCGCCACCGATTCGAAGATAACACGACACATCTCCTCATGAAAATTGTCGGGCACCTCAAGCGTTTTCGGATCGCGGATTTCCTTAATACTAGAAGCAAACAGTTAAGTTTATTTAAGTAAAATATACACAAGAGTACACACATATGTATATGCTAACCCGCTTACCGTTCAATGAACTCATTATTTATATTGGAAAGCGGTTCGATGTACATTTTTAGGCTCTTGGGTTGCATAAAAATGGGATTCATTGCCGAGCGCAGCCTGCTCCATTCTTCCTTTTGCCTACTCAGAATAGTTTATGATTATTTAAAAAGCACTTTCATGCCATTTTATTAGATTACTTACGTGGCAATTAAGCCCTTGCTCTCATTGTAGACATCAGGGCGAATGTGCGTTCGAAAGTATTCGATGGAATCGAAACCTTCGCGGTGTGGCCAGACACCCTCGTTGCGACACGCTGTTTCAATATCCTTGGTGTTGAATACCACAACCCAATCCTTGCGTCCAAACATACCAGGCATTATAAAGATATCCCCATAGCGTTTACGCATAGCCATTGCAAATTTCGCCAAAGAAACATCATGAAACTCTCCCCCGGGCAGAAAACTACGCATAAATTGCAATTTCCTTGGTCTGGGCAACTGGCTGTAAGGCAACGCAGTTGATTCTACAACTCCATCGGTTGGCTATCAAGAACATTTTAAAATCACACATCCACACACACAGTACAAGTACCAACATGAATGCTTCTTACCTTTACTCTGGCCTCCAATGATATTGCGCGCTCTATACGAAGATATCGGGGCACTGGCAGCCTCAATTTACATATGTTTACACCTTGACTGACATTCATTGCTCTTACTTATTAATCTCCTCAGTGTCTGCTTGTGACTAGGAGAGCCCTCCAGTTCTCAGCGTATTTATAAGTAACGCTTATCAGCAAATAAAACATTCAAGCAAAACAAAACAAACAGATCGTAATGCTTGACTTTTAAGTGCGCTACACATGTGAGGATTTCAACAATGGCTGCGATTGGAAACAGTGTTTCATTTTAACCCACTTGTGGCATGAATTTTCTTATTTTTATGCTGCTTAGCGACTTGGGGGATATACATAAGACTTGGCGGTGTACAAAAGGATAGAGAAACATATGGAATTAACATTTTATCTATTGTTTTTGTATTATAATCTTTCAAATTTTATAGCGCATCATTGGAGGCTATATAGCCTATTCCAACAAAGAGCACCGTAAGTGTGATTTGAACATTTGCCAACACCTTAAGCTCTTGGCTTAATTCAATAAATGTCACAGTAAGTTACAGCGTTTCGGAACCCAAGTTGCTGACAAACAATTCCAACTATATTTTTTGCTGGATATTGTTAGAAATGCTTTTCTTTTTCAAATAGCATTTCAATTTCAAAAAAGTGTTTTAAACATTAATGTAAATATTAAAGATCAACTTTCCAGGTAATTTTTAAGTTCGTGATAGAAATGGGCCGACAACTCGATCTAAATCTATTTCCAATTTTTAATATTCTACAATTATAAAATAATTAACTTGTACCGGGTACTGAATTAAAATGAAAATAATAGCTTTTTGCTAATTTAATTTTGCAAAATAGTGCTATTATTTATTGAGTATCACAATGTTCAACAAATTGTGCTCAACCACAGCAACAATGTGCCATTAAATGGCTCTCAGAAAAGTGCTCCATCATGCTGAGCAGTTACCTACCTTGAGTGACCGATAATGCTTTGTTTATATGTACAAGCAATAGTCTATGAGTAAGCTTTTGCTGATAATAAACAATTTGAAAGCTTTTTCTCACACTGCAAGTATTACTTGTATTTTGTTCAGGCCTTTGGAAAAGGCAGCTGTCAGATCCAAATTATAATATAAATCATGGCACTATTGTTGAATTTCCTTTTGCCCACTTTAGTGGTTCTTTAGATCCCGTTTGTGTTAAAATTCTAACAAGCTTTGTCCGTAATTGTCAGCACCCTGCTGCTTGCAGAATAACATTGTTCCTTTTATGCGAAGAAACGAGTTACCTGTGGAACTAGTTCTTTTCTTGCATATTCATTTATTGACAGCACTCTATTAGATGCTTTTACAAATCAGTCAATAATTTTACATCTGAACACACAAGTTCCAATTTTACAAATAAAAAAGATTCCTAAATATTTCAGTATTTTTTAAATTTCACATATTTATGAACTAATGATTAATATAATAATTTGTGTTCTCAACACACCAAAATCTACTAATAGAAATACACAAAACGCTGGTAATTAAAGAGAATTAATTAGTAATCTTGCTTTTAAATTGGTTTTTAATTATTTCAGATGATTTTTCGTTAAATGCTGTAGCATTATACTTGTAGCACAAGAGCTAAAGCAATAAGCCATAAAATAATTTTGTGATTTTGGAATAATTCTAAGTTCTAAGTTTCTAAATAAATAATAAATCTCTTCTTTTTTTGTACATAGTGTTCTTTTATCTAAATAAACCTTTCCCGAAATAGGAACAGTAAACATATCATCATTGTTGCACATCTCTTCATTGCAATTCTTTTACCAGAGAACCATTTTATGAAGTTCTATAAAGGAAGATCTACTATGCGAACAACAACTCCTGATGTAACAAGAATTCCTTATTCGCAAAATGTGACCGTTTCTAATAAGGTCGGTTAATTTATTTTCTTCTGAAAGACAGACAATAAAAATTATCCCGATTCTCCCTAGTTACTTCATCTCGGTACTAGTTCTAAAAACCGTTAGGCACATCTCAACTTCACCTGAACAACTGCGAGCCCGGGGTGTTCATTTTGAGATTTTCCACACACGCACACACACACACACACGTGTGTGTTTATTTCTTTTCTCTCAACACTGCACACATGGCCAATGCTACCTGCTGCCACTGCTCTTCTCTAGTTATGCTCCTGTTGCCTGGCAAACTGAGTTGTGTGGGCGCATGTGTGTGTGTTTTTAAATTTTGTCCTCAAGCACACTTGAAGTTGCCTTCAGCAAGTGTCCCAGCTCCAGCTTCAGTGCCAGCTCCAGCTCCAGCTCCTGCTTTAGTTTCAATTCCCTTGGCAGCTCATATGCCTTCTGCCTGTGGCTTCACGTGTTTGCGTGTTATAAGCCAAGCTGAGCGCATCAAGAAAGGACTTGAAGTGTTTATGCTGTGGTGCTGGTAACTTTTTCTGCTTTCCACACGCACTTCAAGGCGGTGCAGCAACAGTAACAACAGCAACAGCAACAACAACAAAGGCGTAGCGTGTGCAGGCACCGGCAACACAATTTCCTTGTTTATGGTAATTACCTCACAAATCTTGCAACTTTTTAATTAAGTTAATTTGCTTCAAATGCTACGATGTGAAGGCAACGTACAAGTAAGTATGTGTGTGTACACGTACGCCCAAAAATATGCAACATTCCCATATATATGAGTGTGTGTATGGGTGCATAATTTCAAAATGAAAATGCTTGTCAAGTGGCAAACTTATGCAGCCACCTCCACCTCCACCTCCACGTCACTGCCCCCCACACACACATACACCTTAAGTTTCGACTGGACACCTTGTTACCGGAGAGAGTTTTATTTTTTCGCCAACACACAAGCCCACCTGGGCAGCAACTGCGGTTGCGGCCATCAAAATCAACAGCAGGCATTAGACCAAGCCACGTGCATATTGTCAAAATGTGTCGCATGCCGGTGTGAAAATTTCAACAAGCCGGACACAAGCCTATAGCCACACACAGACGTGCGCACTTTCACACCAAGGCTCTGCTCACACCTGAACCCGAACTAACGAGCTGTCAGTAGCAGCGCTTTGGAAACTGCATCCGAAAAGCCGAGCAAAGCAACCACAAGACTTTCACACACTTCGAGCAAGCCCGACTGTGAAAAGTATGAGCTACTCATACAACCATAGACTTTAACCAAATTTAAGTTGTGCTCACATTTTTGGCCAAAACACAGCGTTTCCAGAGCAGTCACGAATTTTTTTAATTAGAAACTGATAATCATTGTTTACCTTTTATTATCTTTCATTATTTAAGTATTTCAATTTTAATTTGTTATTTTAATTTAATTGAACTTTTTTTATTGCTATGTCTTCATCTCATGAAGATGTGCCATCCAAAGGATCTTCCCACGAGACCCCATAAAATATATTTCATATTTGATCGAAAATGTTGTAAATATACATATACATACATTGTATGTATATATACATGGCCGTAGCGAGGGGGGTGCAAAGCGGGTAGCCACCCCCCCCCCCCCCCTTGATTCTGAACGGATCAAAAATTTTGCACACAAATTTGAATTTGTGCCGCATTGTACAAAAATCATGAATTTATGGCTACGGTTAATTTATCAGCTAGATTGCTATGAATATATAATGTTGAGAATATATACCTATATATATATATATGGGCATGAAAATATTGTGTTTATATGCTCAACTTATAACTCTTCACTAGCCCTATATTTAATGCTAAGGTTTATTTTGGGCAACGGGATAATAAGTTGTTTTTCCGGCCACCAGTTCGCTGATTTTATCGAAACCTGAGGCAATATATATTAATGCGACTAATTTTAAAACGTTGTGCATTATTGTCTCTTAAAAATAGTTTTGGTATAACAGTTCAGATAATGCAGTTTCAGCTCTGAACTGTCGAAACAAAATGATTTTAGATTTCTTTATCTGCCATAACGTTCTTTTGATAACTGCCCCGACCCCAGATACGGCTCCCATTCTTCGGAGCATAGATGGCCGTTTGGCAAATAAAATTCCCCCACCGAGTCGGATTCGACGTTAGACATTTTTGTGATTTCTATAGGCTTTGTTTTTCTTTAGTTTTATCTAGTATAAGTTCTGTATTGTTTTAATTTTTTCTCACATCGACAGCTCTGTTTCTCGATAATTAATAAATAAATAAATACATTTTTTAAAATCTAAAAATAACAATTTCTTAATCTGTTAACTGTTGTTTATTTGCTGAGGCGAAATCCAACCGACAATATAAACTCACACTTGTCTAGTTGAATAGCCAGCTGTTCAAAAATTGTATTACCTACTCGTACTAACAGGACCTTCTGATCAACAAATAATATAAAATATATAAATGATGCAACGAATAAGTTACACTACTGAAGAATAACAAAAAAATAATATTACGAGTTTACTGGTTTTTCAAATGCAGTTGTCTGTTGCCATTATTATTTATTCATTTAAAATTTCCAACTCACTTTAAGTGTTAAAGTTAAATGAAATTAATTATTAACTCTCGGCCCAATTTCAGATTCCAGTTAATTATTTGGATAGAATAACAAATTAAACGATGTGTGTATGTTACAGTTGAGCTAAAATAAAAGTCGGCCTTTTGTGGAGGCATAGTACTGCAATAAAATTGTTTCGCTTTTTTCAATTGTTCGGTTTAGAATGCATTTATTTAAATAAAATTGCAAAGCTTGAAAATATAAGTTTATGTAGCTTCGGAATTTTTTTTTTAAAGATTCTCTTACGGGGAATGAAAGTAAATATCAAAGAAATTTACTAGTTTTGCATTGAGACTAGGTATGGAAGCCCTTCAATACCAAGTCGACGAGTTCCTTAAAAGAGTGTGAATTTCCACTCACAGCCTTGTAAGTTATTTAGAATTTTCACTACAATTAATTCATTAAATGTAGAATAAAGAATTCAAACATACCATCAGTATTAAAGATAGTGTTGTATTTATATTTATATTAAAGGATGTTATCATAGCTTCAATATCGGCACTCATTCTACTATTAGACATTTTCTGGCTCTTGCATTTGAATTAAAATTTTAAATTTAAATATGAAGCT